TATATATATATATATATATATATATATATATATATATATATATATATATATATATATATATATATATATATATATAAAATTTGTTGAACAGAAAGCTATAGCAGAGGTATATGAATGTTTAGTCGTCTATGTATATACGTCATTGGAATTAAATGTTCACAGTAAGTTCATACCGACAAAAGCGCGTTTTGAACGTCAATGTAAAAAAAAGGAGCAATCAATTGTGAGTGTTGGCGAACGCAAACTGAATTTTATCCTTTTTCCTTGCATTTGTATTTTAAGTGATGATCAGGGTCGACGACGATCGAAGATCTTGACTCGCTGCAGGTTAGGATTTCCCGTGACTGTGCGCACAATTCGTTTCAAATCCTGAGGACGTAGGAATGTTCCCAGGACGTTCTCAGAACGTACTCTGGACGTTTTCTGGACATCTGTTAGGGTGAAGCCCATTATCCTCGCAGAGATTTAATTTTTGGATCATATGGAAAAATAAATGCAAACTGACAATCGATAAAGATACATATCGATTTATTTATAAAGCGTTGAACGTTATTATCTTTTCGATGATAAATGCTTGACTCTAATTATCGATCTGCGATCTCAACGCAACCTTCAGTTTTTTTTTTATAAATGTATTATTTGTGTTTATAACACAAATATAAATGTAATTAAATTATAAATGTCTGTAATAATATTTGCCTTAACGTGTTTTTTTCTTTACGCGAAATATATACTTACTTTTGTATGCAAAGAATAATGAATAGAACGAACCTATGCGATAATTTCTTTAAATTGTTCTTTTATCGAGATAATCGTTTTGAAAAGAAATTTATTATGTAATTTACACTCGATTCTAAATTTTTATGGCGATGTCATGCCTTTTAGTTAAACTGCTACCTCAAAAATTGGAGTACAATTATTGTCTTATTCTATTTCTCTCATAACGCCATGCACGTGATATCGATAGCAATAACTTTTTTTAAAGAGCGGAAATAGGAGAAATTTCATGTGAATTCGACGATTTTGGCGATCGCGTACTTTGTTGAACAATAGAAATGTTAAACTTTTCACAAATTTAAATTAAGGAAAAAGATACATAATCGATAATATATTATTAGTTTACAAACGAAAAATATCTAAATCCGAATTTAATCACTGTTAATATCGAGGGACTTTGGTTAATTTAGTGAAGATAACGCACATATTAATCTCTAATATATTCAAACATTAGCTAACCTCCCGGAATCCGTGATCAATGCATTGCCGAACGACTTGAACACTGGAATTTATTATGGCTGGGCCTCCTTGGAGAGACGAGTTTATAAAATGGTCGCAAGCATAGGGTGGAATCCGTATTATAAGAACGAAAAGAAATCACTGGTACGATAAGTGACAACAGTGTAATCATATTTTCTTCTCAACACTCATTGACAATCGTCATAAAATATAGTGTCACTTAATTGTTGCTCAAACAGAATGATGTAAAAATTCGTCGCATCACGAGAAATGTCTCACTTGAATCGTATTACAGGAAGTCCATCTGTTGCACAAATTCCAAGATGACTTTTATAGTGAAGAGCTTAAAGTGATTATCGTTGGATATATACGACCAGAAAAGGATTTTTCCTCCGAAGGTAGTGTCTATGATACAATTATGTATAATGAAATTAATGTACCACAGTAAATAGACAATAACATCTTAGTTAATTAGACAGTACTCTCTAATAAAATAATATAATTATTGTACAATTATATGATATCTATTATAAAAAGTAGTATAAAAAATGTATAAATAGATTAAAATAATTATTTCGGGAGAAATCAGAATAATTTAGTATTGCTATATAACTGTGAGTTGTTATTACTTATCTTTACAGAGGAACTCATCAAAGAGATAAAGAACGACATCGCAATCGCGGAGAAGAGATTAGAAGAGCCTGTTGTAAACAAGTTGAAGAACCATGACTTCTTAATCAAATAAGTAGTTAGAAAGCTTTACTTAACAATGGATATATTATTTCATTTATATCTCGATATGATGTAAGAGTTGTAAAACTACAAGCAATCTCACGATCTGTAAAAGAAATTAACATATAAATAGATATTATTTACAGTGTAATTATATCATCAAGTAAGTCATCAAGATTATTTAAAATATAAAGAATATTTTCTCTACTCCTTTCAATGCTAATTTACATGATTTTAAGAAAGAAGATAAAAACATATTAAGATAGTTGTAAACTTCTACAAATGTAAGAATCGTGAAAAATTATGTGACAGAACGTTTTTTTTTTTTTAAAAGCAAAATAAAAATGAAATAAATTATTTGAATTAACGTTTGACACGCAGTGCAGCATGAGCCCATATATTAATTTATTACAAATTTTCAAGAGCCTAAATGTAAAATCCAACTCTGTAGCACCTTCACCACTTATGCAAGGAAGATGTCAAAAAAATATTTGATGAGCAAATATGGGTGGGTGCACAGATTTTTGCATAACGCATAAGGTATTCAATTATTTTTTAAAATAACTGTAATCGACTGTAACTACGTTTACACGGCAACGTTAATCCGGATTAGTAACTATTGTAGTTAGTGAATTCTCGAATCCGACTAAAGAACATTTTTAGATCTAAAAGAATATACCAATAAAATCCAAGAATTCACTAACTATGGTTGATTAATGTGGGTTAACGTTGCTGTATAAATATAGTCTGTGATTAGTCAATTTGTTTGCGGTCTATGATTAATGACTTATTGTAGAAGGCCTTTTATGAAGAATTTACATTGCGTCCGATATCTGACGTATGTACAATAGCTGCATTGTAAATCGAAGACGTCGGATTGCTCTTTTACCTCGACATGCATAGAAGTGAGAGAGATACGAGATCGTATCTTTTTCATTTCTATGCATCTTCGAGATGAAAGAGCAATCCGACATTTTCGATTTAAAGTTGGTTTATGGTGGCCATAAACCATTCGTTAACCATAAATAATTCGTTAACTTATGCTGGAACCATAAAAAATTAACCAATCACAGTCGATTATTCTCCTATAATTCGACTATGATTGGTCAATTTTTTACGGTTCCGGTATAAGTTAACGGATTGCGGACATCACATAAACCAGCCTTACGCAACTATTGATATCTAATAGTAGAATTTCTATGTATAGTTTCTAGCTAGTGACATTTTTGTTTCCAGAAAACCAATTTTCTTATTGGATATCGACGTTGAATATCAACGCAGTGTAAATCCGCCATAAAGTGGAAAGAGCAGAGAATGAACTTTGGGGCCTTTCGAACACAAGCTTCAACTGTAAACTACATCAAGAACACTCGGAACGACTAATTGTTCAACTATACAAAAATGGCATACAAAACATACAAACGTCATTCAAACAACCTTCTCCCTAAACCTCAATCTACTGAAACCCATAATCACTTTAGCTACAAATTAATCCATTTAAATCCAAACCTCTTAAAAACGACAACTATCGTAAATTGATGAAAGGGCCAAAGATATAGGTCTGTAACCAAAGAGAGAGAGAGAGAGAGAGAGAACCTTGGGGCTCGATTTTTGACGGTGTGCGCATATACTACTCTGTCCGGATCGAGATCTCGCTCCGAACTCACTATCGTGAACACCCTAGGATAGCGAATCACGGTTCTTTTTCTATAGATGCATTCAGTTTATTGAGCGCTCAATAAACTCTTGCATTTGATAGGTATATATTTTTAGATCTAAAAGAACATGCCAATCGGATGTAAGAGCTCACTGAGCACTCAGTGAGCTGTTGGTAGTATTGGATGCACCCTATAAACTAGTTTGCGAGCACTTTTTGATGCAGACTGTCCTTTTTTAAAAGAAGAAGAGGAAGGAGAGCGTTCACAAGTGAAAAGGCCACCGAGTCAAGCCTGTAACCAAGGAAGGAGAAAGAGATCAACTCAAGACAAGCATTTTGTTGTGTTCATTGTGCAAAGCTGTGTCTATACTGATATTTGTAATTGTTATAATTGAATTATTTTGTTAACGAGTAACATTTAGAAATATGGAGGACAAACTTCGGCAAATGGAAGATGAAATGAACAGGTAGGAATCAACGTGTGTTGATTTAACCTAACTTAACCTCTATTTCTATCCGCAAACTTTCGTTTTCTTTCTTTTTAAAATTACGGACATAATTTTGCTAACACATTTGTGTTTTTGACTAATTCATTATACATAAATTCCAGATTCGAAGCTGAAATCGGAGGACAGCTTGTGACACCAATCGTACGACCGGTGATAGGCGCAAACACATACAATCAAGTTGCCAGACAATTGGAGCAACATGAACTACCCACATCGGTCGTCGCGGCGGCTGCTGCTGCGACATTAGCGTTTCCTCCGATGATCGGCTTTCCACCACCGCCACCGCCTCCACCTCCTCCCCCGCCACCACCAATGTTAATTCCTCAGCAAGTAGCAAGACAAAGTAAGTTCAAACTGTATAACTTTTATTATCTTAGTGTTATAGAAATGATTCTGTAAAGTTTGCTTCATGATGATGATGGTGATTGCTGCAGATACAGTTCCTATCACCACATACTCTTCGCCAGCACAGATAAGTAATCCATATATGTCAAATATGGTGGATCCATGTTTGAGTGCAACACCAAAAACCTATGAATCTACGTCAACACCCATGATTCATCCTGAGATCATTGAGCAAATTATTAATACAAAGATACCTGACGATGAGGGTAAAAAGAAACCAAAAGTTAAAGGTGTCAGCACAGCGGCAGAACTAGCAATTAGCCAAGGAAAGGCAAGCTCCATCATGGCTAATGCCAGTGCTGAGGAGACCCATCCTAAGGGTAGAGGGAAGAAGAATAAGAAAATCATAAGAATGGCTGGTGGCCAAACGTGGGAGGATCCATCTTTATTAGAATGGGACGAAGGTCAGTAACAAACAAGCATGTTTATCTTAGAAAAAATGTACATTCAGATTGTACATTCAAAATCATGTTCTAACATCCTCTATCCTGCACAGATGATTTCAGGATATTCTGTGGAGATCTGGGCAACGACGTCACCGACGAGATGTTGGTGAGAGTGTTCGGCAAGTATCCCAGCTTCCAGAAAGCCAAGGTAGTTCGAGACAAACGGACAAATAAAACCAAGGGTTTCGGATTCGTGTCTTTTAAAGATCCACAGGACTTTATCAAAGCGATGAAGGAAATGAATGGTGAGCCAAGTTTTTATTATTATATAGCTTTACTGTAGACTCAGTTTGTGTATGTTAAGTAAATATTTCTTTCTATTTTTTACGCTCGAGTGCTCTATGATTTCTGACGAGTACTTGTGAGAGCAGTAGAATTAGTGTCAAAGCGATGTATTTGTGTAGCAAACAGAATTTTATTGCGCCGTATTTTTATGTACAATGCACGAGGGAAGCTTCGTGATGAGGAAGACAAATGAAAATAAAATCTTAAACGTTGCCAATGAATCAATTATAGTTACGACAGAAGTTTACGACCGCCTCATGCATGACTTGCCTACACATTTTCAGGTATATTGTGAACATCAATATACATTTCTTTATCTCCCTTTTCGTTCTCGTCTCGATAGTCCTTTGATATCGAGGATATATCAAGGTTTTCCGTTATTATTTTCCATAAGCATCCCAGCCATACGATATAAAGAGCTGCGGTATAGTCAGAAACTGTCTTCTTGGTTGTACAGTAGGTTGACGTTTTCGTTGATTAGGACGTTCAATTGGTGGTGAACTAGAGCTTCTGACCGTCGCAGTAGGTTCCGTTCGTTGAGTAGCTGTGAAAAGTGGATTTTTAATATTTTACATTTTTCCTTATTTTTTATTTTATCCTTATGTTTGGCATGTAAATCTCAAAATGAGATTACACGGCGTTAAACAAAGATAAGATATTTGCATCAATGCATTTTACATAAAAAAAATATATATATTCTTACTATTCAAGAATAATTTTCGTAAATAGAAAGCGCAAAATATATATATTCTTACTACTCAAGAATAATTTTCATGAATAGAAAGCGCAAAATATTGAATTAAAAATATAACATTTTCAAATATCGGAAGAGGATATTATTATTATCAAAATGATTATATTATACTTTTTATGAGACTGTTATAATATTCTAACTAAATTATATAAGATTGTTTAATTGGAAACTTTAAAATGCTTCCTCTTACATATTGTTACTTATATACATGAAACAGTGATTGTTAATTTGAGTATATCAGTTTCAAATGGACAGTAATTTTTTTTCTGTGTACGGATACACAAAGAGAAACGTTTCTGTGTCGATGCTCATAAGTACTCACTTGACTTTGCCGTGGCTGTATTCGGTCGTGAATGATGCGGGTTCATATAGAGAACGGAGAAAGGCATACCGCCGGCGCCCCAGCTGCGGGAGCCGGACATTTCTTTCTTTGTGATCCTAACTGGTATCTGCTTATTGGTCGACGCGGATGATCGAATTACTTGTCCCTTCGTTACCGATGTAATATCTGGCCACGACTTCAACGCAAACTCGGATGCCGGGCTCATGATTTGCCGTCGGGACTGTAACCTGCCGCACAACATTTTTTCTTACTCAATTCGTTGTAGTGTGATGTGTTGGGTGAAATTTGTGGAAGATCATTACTTCGAGATATCGCTGTCTTCTCCGTCGGTTACCAAAACGGTGTCGCCGCGCGTCCCCAGTGTCGATAACCACTCCCAGCATTGTTCATTGGGGAAGCATTTTGTTACAGGTGTGGAAACATCTCGAAGATCCCTCTCGTTTAATAACGGCGCCGCGTAACCGATCGCCGTCCACAATATATTCAGCATCAGCACTGAGAGTAGACTAGAAACTATCTTCGTTCCCATTTCGTATTCGCGATACTTGAGCGCGTCGTCCGTTTGATTAGTTTCGTCTTTTTCTAGAACAAGGAAGTACAAGATACGCTACAATGATTTTTCGAAGCATGAGTTCTTGAGAAGAACGATTACTCGGTTCTGAAATCGCAAATATCCGGTTCTCTCGAATCTCGTCATTCATCGCGTTCACGAGTTCATCAGGTCACAAACAGACCCTGCCGACCGTCGATGAAAATGTCTTCTCTCTTACTTGAATAGTTTGTCATGTCTTCTAAGCTCTCTCTCACTCGCCATATGCTCTCTTAAAGACAATCAGTAAAAACGTTTCTGATTAAATCAGAAAAAGGAGATCATCGATCAGAGAATATGATCACTGATTTTCAGTGGAAATACTGTCACTTTATTGCTTATATCTCACTGATATGATATCGACCAATGGAAAGAAGAGTTCATTGCAAAGTCTACAATTGCATACGCTACAAATTCGTTATACGTTGTGTCAAGTCCAACTTTCTGCGTTTTTGATGATGTAATTACTCGACTTCCTTGTGATTGCAACGACACTGTCTATGTTTACAAACTGCATCAATAACAGGAACAGCTACTATCAATTGATTCTTTCAGCGAGATTTTACTGATTGCACTGAACTACCAGTTATAAGTATAACATTTTAGTGAAGAGTATACTAATTGTATTTTGAAAAGTTTACTTCACCAAAATTTATCGATCAGTTTCGGCAACATGGATCTTTCTCGTGAATAAAATTCAGAATTCGCGAAACCGATATGGCGGAATTTAAAGCCTGATTTTTCAAGACGTAGCAACTTCAATTCTATTTATATGATATGAATTTATTACAATATATTATTATAATATATATATATATATATATATATATATATATATATATATATATATATACACATTATTATAATATGTATTATAATGATAAATTTATATTATTATAATATATTATATGTTATTGATATATATTTTTTTTATATATATAATATATACAATATGTATTGAGATATATTGAAATTTATAATTTCACTTAATTATTCTATTAATTTCGTACTTACGCATGCGTCAGACGCCTGGCCACAATTGAGCGACCCGTTCATTAATCATCAATCATCGGACTCTCTGTTGACAGGCAGGTACGCTGTTTACGTTCCTCCCGCGAAATTTCTGCAACGGCCCGACACTATTTATACAACATTCCGCCTAATTTTAACATCGTGCTACACGCAAACCCGTATACACACAACACATATATATACACACACGAGACAGCGTGCGTGATGAGTGGCACGTTAAAAACAACGATGCGATAGGAAAGAGGAGAACATTATCTCGCGACGCTATTGGACTGAGTGGAGAGATCAAAAAGTGTGCGACACGACGACGATTTTCACGACAATAACGAGATACTCGTGATACATACGCGATGTCGTTAAATCTCGCTTCTTTTTCTTCCCGTCGCGATATCGTCGCGGCTCATACACGCTCTTAGCACGTGGTCGCGTGTACCGGATGGAAAATGACGCGCGCGTCTAGGATCTACGATCAAATACGTCGGAGACCTCGGAGAGGGGCACGCTAATGAATCTTTTTTCACTTAGCTAAACGATTACTTGAACGTAGACTTGATGCGCGAAGCTACGTTGTGTTTACGAGATCTCTTAAGTAAACATTATTATTTCAGAATTCGCGATTTCGTATCGACGATAATGTCAAGCCACGGTTATATTAAAACCAACTGTAATGTCCGACGAAAATTATGTCACACTGCTTGTCAGAGAGAGAGGGTAATGCGGCAATATTGAACGAAAACAATTCCCCAAACGCGACGGAGCCTTCGTAATCGCGATCGTAGTCGGCGGTCGATTCTTTCGTATAGTCGAAGAAAAGGTAGGAAAAATAAGAGAGAGAGAGAGAGAGAGAGAGAGAAAGAGAGTGAAAAGCTTTATTAAAGAGAAAAAGAAAGAATCAGCGCGACTTCACATCAACGATAACGTCAAGTCACTATTATATTGAGTTGCATGATACGTCAGATTTGTTAGGTAAAATGAAATGTTTTTATGTCATTGATAACTTTATGAAACAACGTTAATCTATGATCTTTTGCCATTCTTCGCATACATAAACGTTATCGATCATAATTTCATAAAATTAGAGCGATATAAAGATATAATCATTTTATTTCATCTAAAAAATTTGTGATTATTTATCATACAACCCAATATTAAAACCAATCGTAATATTCGATGAAAATTATGTCACACTGGCAATCACGGGGGTGTGTAATACCACAAAATTCGGCGAAAATAATTTGACAAACGCAAGATCATAGTCACAATTACGGCGGTCAACTCTTTGGTGTAGAAAGTTAAAAAGAAGAATTTAAGAAAGATACTAGGAATATATTAGAAAAGAGAGAGAATAAAAAGCCTTATTAGAAAAAAAAATAGAGACAAAACAAACACGTACACACACGTACCTTCGGAATACGCCGAAATCGTTCGTTCGTTCGTTCGACTTCTACTTTCTCGGCTGCACTCCGGAGGTGATCGTTCAGGGCGGGTTTTCTGCTCGAACGCGGAACCGTATATATGGTTCCAGGTGATCGTCGGGGTGGGTGCGACCAAGTGCGTCAAGAGGCCGAAGCGTTCCGCTATTCATTCAACAACCCCCTACCTCCTACTATAAATTCCCGTAATACCCCACCCTCTTTACCAGAACCAATCGAAAAGCTCGCGGCAGGCTGCGCGAATCAATTATTCGTGGTCCCTCTTGGTTTCTTCTGTGTGTTTTTCTTTCTTTTCTTATTTTTACACATTTGCTCTCATCATCGGTTATCGTCGTCATCGACGTCGCCGTCGTTGTCGCCGTGATAATCATTACGGCATTTGTGTTTCTTTTCGAGGTTTCCCTCGATTTGAGCAGGTTCTCTTTTCCGCGCAAGAATACGAGTTGCGAGTGAAAAGAATTGTGAGTCGCGGCTAGTGAATTAATTACCGGCTTGTGATCTTCCTACGGAACTCATTCAGCCGGGATAGATGTTTTCCTTTTTACGAATATTTGTGTACGCTCGTGGAGACATGTATACTCGTTGTTAGGGTTGCGTGGCGTTTTCCGATGTGGAACAAAGTACAAAGCGTAGTCTCGTACAGCGCGACTTTTCTGGATCGATCATTCGCGGTATTTCGGACGCGAATACGAAGAGGCGGTATCTAAAAGGTATGCAAGGAATGTTGTAAAATGCCGTTATTTATAGTCATTTGTCGAGCGGTGCGCTCAGTTTTCGGTGCGCTTAATGCATGATAAAATATAACACGCGTGCGAAAGATCGGTGACTCACATGCCGCGGTGATTTCGCGCGGGAATCTGCCGAAATTTCTCGCAGCCGCGGTCGTCGAATCGCGCGCGATACGTGGGTCTCCGCGGAAAGGTTTATCGCGAGAACGCGGCGTGCTTGTCGCATAATCACGAAGCAATCGAGGCCTCTCCCATTCCAGACACTCGAAATGTCCTAAAATACCAACTCAAAAACTCCCCCGCATTCAGTTGTCCGTGGAAAGAGACCACTGCTGGATTCTGTAACTCGTTATTAGAGTTAACGACAGTTTCGTTATCGTTGCGCAGCTTTTGTATATCGTAGAAAAGCTACGCAACGATAACGAAATTATCGTTAACTCGATAACGATAACGTAACGATAACAAGTTATAGAATCCCAACATTGGGGTGAAATCGTCGTCTTGTACGATTCAATATCGATTATACATGATTTTGTCTTTTTGAAAAAATCTTTTTTGTCGACCCACCGAAATTCTGGCTCTTGATCAACGATCTATTCCAAATTTCACCCATATACAGGAAAGACAATTCCGTTAGTTTTAACTGTATTTTTCTTTGCTTAATAAGAACAGGGACTAAACTTGGTTGTAAGGATGAAAGACTCCTACAAGAAATTTCTAATCAGTCAATTGTTCTCAGTTATTACAATCAAGTTTTAAGAATGTCTCGCTCATTTACCTCAAAGCAATGTAAACGTTTTGAAAAAGTACAGATTAATTTATATTGGATCTAAAAATAATCCAAATAATTTGAATTAGATCCTGAATTAAAAGTTACTTCACTTTAATATGTAAGCCCTAGCGAGCATAATGACGTCAATGACGTATTAATACATAACGTTAGAAGCGTTATCAATGTTATTTGATGACATTCTGCTATTTGGAAATATTTTTATTCGCGCTGTTATACAAATATATATAATTTTGCTATTTTTAGCAAAGGAAAAAAATAATTAAAAATAATGACAGAAACCTTATTTTTTATATATTTTTGTATTTTAAGTATCTAAAATATGTATGAAAAGTTTTATTGTAATTCACAGATAAAAGTTTAAAAATAACAAATAATATAAAGTAAACTGTGTAAGAAAAAAAGATATATACGTTTTTATACAAAAATAGTAATATTAACATATTTTTAATTACTAATGACTTTTTTACGGGGACTCAATACGTCCTTAATATAGCTGAATGTTTAGATAAATATTTTTGATTGTGGTAACAGAAATATCATTTCACATCGCCAAATTTTATTCTAGTTCCTAAACAATTGCATGAATTGAGATTTTTTTCCGTATGTGAACGGGAAAACAGAGAGGAGAAGGGGAGAGAGAAAGAGAGAGAATTCTTTTGGGGATGAGAGAGGGAGATCCGCGTTCAGCTTCACGAACGGTGCGTGAAACGAAGCGGACGAAGCAACAAGTAGTCGGAACGAATGTGCGAATGAACATAACTGAGAGGATACACGCACGATCGCATGTGAATATTATTGCGGCGCATTCGAGGCACAGGGTCGTGGATATGATGCATAATCGAACGGATATATGAAGTGGTCGCTCGAGGTACTCGCGGAGGCCCGAGACTGATCGATGGCCCGCAGTGCAACCTCGCGACCGCCGATGATCAAAATTTACACAGCTGATCCATTATCCCCTGCTGCTTTTTTTGATGCGCTTTATCTCGATTCGGATGATTTTTGCTCACGTGGCCGAATACAATCGTGCCTGTCTCTTAGTCGCACGATTGTTTAAAATTGTTAGTTTGTTGAATTCATTACATTCTATTTAGATGAAATTCGTAAAATTGAAAGATTTGTCACGGATTGGAATTCATTAACTTCGGGAACTTAGATGTAGATTAAGATTGAGATTTTATAATTGAAGAAACGTAATGCAATAGGATATTCTTCTTCTTGCAAGCGCGAATTAAATCGTCAAGATATGACATATGAGTGTAAGTAAAGTCAATTATCCGCCAAGTGCGGTGCAGTGTGCGATCCTGCGTGTATGTGCGAGAGTGATTTAATTTGAGGCATGAAATGAATTTGAGGATTGAATGGAGGGACCGTTTCGTTTCGCGCCCGCCTCTTGCAGAAGCGCAGTAAGAATGACAAAGAGTTCGATGCGTGGGCGATCGAGATCGGGAATCGAGATCGCGCACGAAGGAGAGAATGAGAGAACCGAGGTCGTGAGCCCCTTCGACGCAACGTGTTCTCTTTACTGGAATTTCTCATTGATACTTGGCTATTCGAAAGGATATTTTTGGTCACGCGAATACTATAGCGCTTCGTGCGTTCTCGGGACTTCGATGCAACTGCGGTCACGTTGTTATTCGGCTTAACTTTCCTTTTTTTACTCGTGGCAGAATTGCATAGAAGACGCAAGATACGTAGATGCAGCGAAGAAACAGGTGCATCATGAATTTGAAATAATATGTACAGTGCACGCGAAAAACGTTTTGACGATCGACAGCTGTTCCCGTATTACGAAGATGCCTTCTTCGAGTCATATTTCTAAAATCTTACGTATCTTGTATTTACGACACGACGGACGGTCCCTTCCTATTTCACCTTTATCTTCTCCGAATACAAAATACGTTGGCGCGAAAAAAACATCGCGATCGACTGTTGCCACACGCAAGCTTGACTTTTCGGTAACAATAACGATACGTGAATCGCATCTGCGATCGAACACTTGCTTGTCAAGTATTTTGTACTCACCTGAGACATAACTCTTGTGTTTCAGGACGATACGTGGGATCGCGTCCGATAAAGCTGCGGAAGAGCTCCTGGAAGCAGAGAAATTTGGAGACTGTGCGCAAAAAGGAAAAAGAGAAACAAGCATTGATCGGATTGCTCACTGGTCGATGATGCGATCTTTATCGTTGGAATTTCGATAAAATTGAGGAAGAATACGATTGTTTGGATGCTTGCGTATTCTGAGCAATCGTTTGGACGACAGTCTTGGAGAGAAAGAGTGCAAAGACAAGAAGATGACATTCGGTTTAGTTATAAATTAATTTATTAAGATGTGTATCAATAAATATTATATCGCGAATCCACCGTGTCTTGGATTTCATTCTTCGTCGCAGATGTTTTAGATAAACAACATTATTCTTCCAGAATGTGTACGGCTTGTGTAAAAGGACAGTTGACGGCGCGTAAGATCGATTAGCGGAAGATTGTAGCGAGATCGAGATCCCGACTGACTGTTGCACTGCGAGTGACAGAACGCAAAATGGAAAGTCCGCGGGCGACGGACCGACTGGATGGGCGCGGAGAGGCGGAGGTTCATCCACTCGGGGTAATATAGAACAATCATATTGCCATGTCTGTGAATACATGCATCTTCCGTTGGTAAAATGATTGCATCGCGCATGAGATAACCGCACGTTAATTTCCGACGCGTCGCGCGAAACGCTGTTGTCGTCGTTGCGAGTGGTCTCTGCGAACAATCGCAGGTGTACCAAGGCGAGAGAAACGAGAACAACGAGCGACACGGCAGCGGGAAGGCTCTGCTGCCGAACGGCGACGTGTACGTCGGCCAGTATCGCCACGGGCTCAGGCACGGCAAAGGTGTCTACGCGTTCAAAAATGGTGCTCGCTACAACGGCGACTGGAGGCAGGGACATAAATACGGCCAAGGGATCTTTTGGTACCCTGACGGAACGCGATACGAAGGTACGGAAGAATGTACAAAAATAGGAGTCGAATCAGACCCGAGGAAGTCGCACTCCGGGACGCACGTGGGTCGATACGTCCATATGTATATGTATATATATATTCGTACAATTATTTTTATATCGCACGTCAGATATCTCTAGAGGAGAGCGTGCGTGCCAGGAATTCCGAAGGAGCCGTATGTGTACGAGTCGCGATTCACGCGCGCGACAATCCGCGAGAACGAGCACGACGACGCTCTCGGCATCTTCATAGCTCGCAGCTCGTAACAGACACAGCGAATTTTGTTTCTCTTTCACGTCTTCTTATCCGTCGACCTCGTATTTGGACGAAGAATTGCGACTGCATGACGGGGGGGGTGTGCGCATTCCTCTTTCTCTCTCTCTCTCTCTCTCTTTCTCTCTCTCCTTCCTTCCCTCCTTTTCTCTTTCTCTCTCTGAGATTTCTTCTGCTCGATCTACCGAAACTGCGAGGAACAGCAGTACTTGAAGATTTCTTCTAACGTCGCCGCGTATTTCGGTAACGCGGTGAATCGTAGGAGAATGGAAACACGACGCGAAACACGGCTTCGGCGTTTATTTTTACGCGAACAATGACATCTACGAGGGCTCATGGAAGGAGGATCTTCGTCACGGTATGGGAACGTATCTGTACGCCGATACGGGAGCGAAGTTTATGGGCACATGGATGAAGGACCGCATGGAAGGACCCGGCCAACTCGTTCACCTACGCCACCGCTTCCACGGTTTCTGGAAATCGAACCTGGTACGAGGTACAAATTAGATTGACGTAAAAGATTTTTCATTTCTCTGTTAAATTCTCGTAGGAAATTTGAGAGTTAAAAGAGAAACAAGAAGTTTCTCTCTCTTCTTATTAGATGTCTAAAAAATACTGAGTTGATATTCATTTCTTTTTATTGTCTTTTTATTTATTGACCATTTTTGTTAATGTCTATTTTTTTAATTATTGACCGAAATTGAATAATTTCATTCTTTATTTTATTTGATGAACACGACGAACCTTTTGCACCAATCTGCGTGACGAGTCGGACCGAACCGAACTCTCTCTTTCCTTCCTTTTATAAAAATTTGAGCAGAAAATATTAGAAATTCGAGGCAGCGTTAATTGCGTGTTAAGCAGAGATATTACCGCACGATGTAGCCGTACGGACGTGGATGCTTCGTCTTCGAGAACGCGTGCATGCAGCACGGTCATTACATACACGTGAATGACTCTGCGTACGATCCGACCTCGATTCCCGCGGATAAGATAGTCAAGGTAAGCATATCTCGCTTTTTATCTGAACGAATTAAAACGCGAGTATCAAACGAGCCGACCAAAGCCGCTGAAGAGACTTCCTTATGTTGTTCTTCGCTTGTTACCGCGAGTTACTTCCTCTATGGAGCAGACACTTTCGTAATCTGCGACATAGGGTGGACACAAAGACCATGTGACGCTGCAAATGCGACGTGAATTACGATCATCTGTCAAAGAAATAAAACTATTGAAACAGGAGGAAGACGAAAAGCTGGAGGCAGCTGCAGAAGCACCGTCTTCACCGGGAACAGGCGTTCTACCGGTCTGGCGTGCACGTTGTATCACGTCTTACAATCCTGAATTATTGCCGCCAGAAGCGGAAGTCTTGCGAGAGGAGGTAATTGTCCCATATTCTTTGGCACACGCACGTGCACGACTTTTGAGCATCCTTTAATAACGTCTTTTAATAATATAAAATGTCCTTTAATAGGATAAATAGTATAATTCTGAGATTATTCTCGATGTACTAGGATATTCCCCGGGATATCCTGAATACATTCGGGATAATTGTAGAATTTCTCGCGCTAGAATCTGGGTCGTAGTCATAATTCACGCGAATTATATGAACGCGCGACGATCGAAGCGGATTTTAGAATTTCAACGCGCGCGTACATAGTTGCATGTTTTCTCGTTCGGATTAAATGATTGAGGTGAATTAATATCAGAGAGCGGAACAGTATTTCGCGTGGTGACGTATATCCGGCTGCCTTTTCTTAATGCGTTGGTTGGATCGTCAGGAACGGAAACGAATTTTTCGGCGAAGTGAACTCCAATCAATCACGTCGCACTGACGAGAAATCGAGAATATCCGGCTATTTCCAGCGCATCGCGCTTGAACTACGATTACTTCCGCAATCATTTGTAATCGTGGCTACATAACCGGTATATCCGGTGCGACGATTAGAAGTTAATTTAATATAGCCGTGCACTGTCCTGTTATATAAACGTCTCATCGTGATATTCGCGACAGGCGTCGACGGCATCCACGATTGAGAAGAGCGAGGAAGACATCTGGCCGAAGATCGAGCCCTACCCCGAATATCCAGAGGAGGATTATCACGAGGAATACTTGAAGTACTATCACGGCGAGATGCCGTTTGAGTTCGGCGGTGCGTAATTGTGACTGCGAATCGATCTACGCGATAACCGAGATCAGCAGGCAGACAGAGATTCGATTGCTAATTTTAATCGTAAACGTGCGCGTGTCTCATTGTCAATTTGCAGCGTGTAACTTTGCATCATGCCAAAAATAAAAAAGAGAACAAGTGATTTTCAAGCGCTTTATTTTAAGAAATCGTAACAACAAATGTGCGTTATGCTTTTATGCCATGCATACAACATAGGAATGCAATTATACATTATCGTAAATTAATCTCGTCATCTTGTAATAGCATAATAAATGCAACGTAAACACGTATCCGCTCAATCAGTATAATCATACATTTAGATCGTATTATTTACAGTTATCCCCAGTTCGTGCGTTGCTGAACGCGATAATTAATGTATGCGATCGAATCGTACGTTGAGCGCGAGCCAATTCGCGGCGTGACCGAAAAAGGAAACGGATTAATACGTCGTTGCGAGAATAAATCAAGAGCGCTGAACGATCGTCCTTCGCTCGGGAACACGGCAAAAAAACCTCGAACGAGAAAACACGTTTACTCCGCTTCTTGGATTTATTGTTTGCGCGCAAGAAATTCCTTCCTTTTCCCGGTCATACCGCGTATTCTATCGCATCCTATACATATAATAAGCTTGCAATTGAGCTTATCATACGATAAGTTTAGTAATATGTGTATGCGTGTGTGAGTGTGTCGCATTATATTTACGCGAAGTTGAATGCATTAAGCTTGGTTATTATTAATTCATTACGCGCATAAGCATATTAGTGAGACTCTTCGCACAATCATAGGCACGACTGTGCGCGTGCCTGTGTCTGTGTTCGCCTCAGTCTCTACGTCTACGTCTACGCTTACATCTAACTATGCTCGGGATAATTATGTTCTTATAAACGAACTGAGTGAGAGGAAGACTAAACTCGAGTCGGAAAAACAGATCAAGTCGTACGAAAGTAGAAGGAACGGTATTAAGTATTTACACAGCGATTATTCTTCATAATACTCTTCATAATACAGTCGTTTAATCGAGTTACAAACAAGTCCATATCGACGCTGCGTCGACGACAATTGAGCGTGCTGATTCCATCTTTATTGTTTGAAAAATAACAAGCTCAAACAATACTGACAAATACTGTCGTTTTTAGTTTTTCTTAGGATAAACATTTTGAAAAAGAAAAAAAAAAGAAAAAAAGAAAAAACATTCATACTTTCCTGATTGATCGCTCAGCGACCTTCTCTAAAGAAAAAAAAAAAAAATTAATCGTATGTATAAACACAAAAAAGATCAAAGAAGATCTATAGAGGCGTAAGAGGACGGAGGTGAGGGCGAATAAATATAAATTGTCGCGCACAGGATCGCAGTCTTTTAAGAATAAGTTACGTCACGAGCAAGCGGAGTGCGTACTTTGACTGTACATTGTCCGTAAAATGCATAAAGTGCTTAACATAGATAAGAAGTCAAAGGAGAACGATAGCGCGATGCGATGACTAACATTTATTACCGCGGAGTTACGTGTTAGACCGTCGTATCGCCGTAAACGTGGTGTGCGAGTCGCGCCCGCGCACACCACCAGCCCGCCGTCGGCGAGGAGAATTCCGTGAGAGGGGAGAAGAGAGGAGCGAGTATGTGCATCGTTAATATAGAAACCGTAGCGCACGCAATGCGCTAGCGCGAGCAACACCGTCATAGCAAAATACTTTGGTCTGCGACTCCGCGTCCACTTGGCACAAGATTCGAGAATCCGCGATTAACGCGACACACAGCCCTTAAATCCGGTCGAAGCGACTCCGCTTTCTCTCGTCTCTTCAAATGTTCTTAGAAGCCGGCAGAGGCTGTCGCGGAAGAGAGAAACGGGAGAACGTCGACGTGTCGATGTGTCGTTGGTTCTCCGATTTCCTTGGGAGATCGACAATCTCGATAAATTTGAATCGATTCTACGTAGTTGGCGTCGCGACGCTACAGCGTCGTCTGATTATCGAGTCAACTAAGGGGATAATCGCGCCCCTTCGCACGAATAAGAGATGTCCTTTTGGACGATCTTCCGTTTGAGATTCATGTCGAACTCGCGCGTCCGCGCGAATACTCAATGTGCGTTTAACGTGCCAACGATTTCTTTCGAAATAGTCGTTTAAGCATCTCAGGTACGTAAACGTGGACGAAATTCTTGCGCCCCCTTTGTTTTTCTTTCTTTATCTGCGAAGCGACTCACTTCGGTGAAAAGACGATGTCGTGGTCGCTCGAGTGACTTTCGTCGGTTTGCTCCCAAAATGAGATTTTCAACGTTTACAACATGTGCAATCCGCATCTATATACAAAGTATGGAGATCCCTCCATACTTGAACTTCCGATCCGATTATTGGCGCGTCCGATATATAAAAAAATGAATGATTCGTATTTAACGACCAGGAGAGAGTGTGGTATTCGTAGGTTCCCATGAGAAGCCGCGGTTATCACGTAACGCGAGAGACTGCGCTCACACACTTTGGATCATCCGTTGACGTAGGGCGTGCAACCTTGAGTTACGTGTCTTCATTTCGATAAATACAGCGAGTTGCACGTTCCCGACTTTGTTAAATACGGATGGTCCTGGGTATTATAATCTTAGAGATGTGAATACGAGCACGAAGCCGCGCTGTTTCAGACTTGCGGTGGCGATCTCTGAAACGCGATACTAGCTACGGAAATACTGCACAGGCCAGCTGTTACAACACCTAAACATATGTAGACCGATGTGATCAGCCAGAAGGCGAATAAATATAACGTCTTGTTGCAGTACTTTCCCAAAGCTGGATCGTAATTCGGCTCGTATTCTTTGTATACCCACATAGAGCCTGTAATAATGAAATCTATTAGAGGCTCGGAAATGAGAATGGTACGTTCAATTCACACAGATTCACACAACAGTGTCTTAAGATAACAATTTTATTTAAAACATGTAGCTACCCACCGATAATGAACCATCCAAGCATAAAACAATTGATCAGAGTCTGTGTGGGTGATTGCCTTATCCTTTCTTCATCTCTCTCTTCTTGACGCTGTCTCACTCTAGCTGATAAGTGTAACAATTGTTTAAATACTCCAAATCCACCACCCACTAACAAGTATACGGGAATGTATTCACCCTGTGGGCAATCGTACAGATACAATCCCCCGATGACCATCATACAAATTGGTACTACTATTGTTACTCCAAGAATGATGGTACAGCCGACTGAAAAATAAGATAATTTCGTGCTTTATGTTTAAAGATCAGGTCACATCTGTGGAGTAGTTAGATAAGTATCTATCTGTGTAATTGCTTATCTAACTGGGTAAACATAGCTTGGGCACCTACTTGTGCCCAAGAGTAGAAAGATTATATTCTTCAAGAAATCGAATATTCCTTTTGAGACTTTACGAGCTTCCCTCATACGACCAAATAGGGAATCATAAGATGGTGGTGGAGCTGCAAGAGATATCAAGATATTTGCCATACTTGACAATATAAAATAAAAATATATTAATGCTTGGACATATACTTAGCTGTGAATATTCTGTTTTCATTTTGGTCCTTAAATACAAATATTTTAACTCCCAATCATGGAAAGAAAATCTATGGTGCAAGTAACCAGAAATATTTAGTTGTAACATAGTTGTATCAATCTAATTATCTTTGTGTGACGATGTGTATAGTTGATATGATTCAGTAACTTTGATACATCAACTACAATGTAATTGCATGTGATCTGGTTGTGAATCAAAAAAACCAGTTAGGATCTATTTATTTACCATAGATACACTCTGGTTGAAGCAACTAGATATTGTCACTGCTGCAACATCAATAATTCAGTAATTGCTCTGCAGTTGCAACAATCACATAATTAGTTCCATATTTTACTATTGAATCTGGTAAGCACAATTATATTTATAAGCTATATTGTTTTTGTCCAAGATACAAAAAAATACACATATATCTTATATTAAAATATGGCTAAATATCTATATTTAAGGACCAAAACAAGAATATTAGGTATGTGTCCAGGCATTGATACTTTTACCTCAATACAGAATACAAGATGCAACTAATAAACATTACACAACATACCATTAGGATCTATAGCTTCTTCGTACGAGGGCGGTGCACCACGTTCGTTGGTCAACGTAGAGGGATGTCCGAGGGGTAAATTAATATTATGATAAGGCGGTGGTGGTAGGACAGTGCAGCAGGTTGATGTTATCTGCGTGCTGGTACCAGGGTTTACACTCTCCACTGTGTCGATGGTGGTGCACGCGGTATGACTGATCGAACTTAGCGGCATTTCTTCGCGCACACCACCGGCCGCCGTTCTATTCCAATACATAAGGCTCGCTAAGCTTCCAAACTGGCCGAATTGACTGATCGCTATCTTGTCGTTCACATTGGTTTACATTGGGCCGAACGCTGGCCTCTATAACCTAGAACTTGCACGTCCAAACTATTTCTCTCGGGAGGAGGAACGTCGAATCTTGCTGTTTTACGCGCACACGACGAGGTCTCGCGGTTTATATCTACGATCAAGTAGAAAACGAGTCTTGGAGCTGTTTCGAACCTTTGAATACTGTTGCTATTTAATCTCTCGTTCCTCCTCGGAACGTGCCGCGTCGGCGTCGGCGTCACATACGGGTCAGACACAGGTCAGACGCAGGTGATCCTGTGTGAGACGGAGGATTCGCATCGCATCTGACGTCGATAACATCGATGTTCTACTGTTATCAACTAGAAATAATTGCAGAGCGTTGACTTTGCCGAATTATATGTGCTTGCTGCTATATAACTTTTACGGTTTGAATTTGACAATATAAAGAACAATTCTATCCCGTGTGTTTATGGCATTGTTATTTCCGACATGGAGTATCGTGTCGTGATCAAATTTTATGTTAAATTGGGAGAAATTCTCATGGACACGAATAAAGACTTGAAGAAAGCGTACGACAATTATCGTGGATTTATAAATAGTTTACGCATTTCCAAGAAGACAAAGAAATATCACGTGGAAGAGAATCTACGTTCGGTATGTTCAGTTGAAGAGAAAAGTAAAAAACGTTATTTTAATATAAAACTTTGTCAAAGAATATACTAGGTTCAGTAGTGCTCAATAGTGGTACGATTCTGAAACTTTTAACGATAGTTATCTTTATGTTGTTGCGCATTTTTCTATAATATGTTATACCTGTGCAAAGATAACATGTTCGTGATTAGGTTTTCCGCTGAATATGGTGAAACAAAGCAACATTCTGTATATTTACATTCTGTATGTATGAAAAGTACGATTTCAAAAATACAATATATAATTTAGAGAAGTATGTGACGAAGAAAGTACAAAACTATGTAGCAATATAAAGAATGTATGTATATTATATAGCGCCGCAAACTTGTACGAAGAATGAGGTCTCTGCACACATGTTTATACCAATAATGGAAGAAGATTGTAAAGGTAAACAATCTGATTCTTATCTCTTGTTAATGCTTATCGGATTTTTTTTCTACAAACTAGGAGCATACTGTGTGCAACTATAAGCACGCGTGCAACGATTGTTGTTTGTCTTGTGTTATATAATAGAGATTATATGAGATTATATATATTTAGAAAAAAATGGAAAATAGTTTTACCGATTATTAAGTTCAAGAATGAAAATTCCTTTATTCTTGAATAAAGGATCGTTTACTGTTGTGTCCATCATAGTAAATTTCTACATCACAATCCATGAATACTGAATTGCAATTGAAATATGGTTCAATTGCAATTCCCACATAAAAAGAGGGATGTCTTTATACATTTTTCAAAATAAAAAATAATAAATAATATTACGATTTCTCTTCTCAATCTCTTATCGTTCAAACGTGCGTTCAAACGGTGCATCTTCTGCACAGCAATCGTACACCTCTATACAAAACTTTTCCCTAAAAATGATGCATTTTAGTAGGTGCTCTTAGATATTTATGAAGAAAACATAATGAGGTTTCACAGTGAATTTTTTGCAGTTTTTGTAAATTTATAATTATGCTAAGCGAAACATAATAGAGTATCTAGTAAATAATTTTAATTATTTTTCACTCTTTGTAAGATAACAAGGAAACTAGAAAAAATTAAATTACGCTTAATTTTAATATTCTATAGAATAGAAAATCAACATATTCAACATATTGTTATTAAGATTCATTAAGGTATTTTATAGCGTTTAAAAATTTGGAATTTTAAGTCGGGTTTTATCATTGTACTAATAATAATTCATATATATAAATTTATTTCCAAATTTCTCGAACATGATTATATAATCAGGGATTTTGGAAACTATTTTCATTTTTGAAATTATTCCCACTGAAACGAGTCTTCAGCCCCACTTCGGGTAGCGGCACTCGTGCAAGAAATATTACTGTCCTATCAGTCTCCGGGTCAAAGCCGCACGTATCACTTCGTCGTAAACAACACCGAACGATCTCTTTAGTCGTAAATAAGAAATACAGTGCAGAAAAATGAATACGCTCACGAGAGCACGTGCGATTTTCGCAAAATTAGGTGTCCGTTCTTACAGTGGAAGAGTTGGCATAATAGGCGTGCCATTCGACAAGGGACAGGTAAATTATACAATATATATAGAGAAAGGAAAACAATGGATGATACATGTCAATCATGAAATTATCTATATCTTACTTATCGTATCTATATCTTATATTTCACAAGAATACAAAGAATGTAAAGAATGTTCCTTTTTATAAATATTCTTTTTTATGAATGTTTTATAAATTTTTAAGAATGTTCCTTTTTAAATTTTATTTTATAAAAAGTGCGATTTCTTTTTACAGAGAAAAGTAGGAGTGGCTCGTGGACCTGAGACAATCAGAGCTGCGGGACTGATACAGGAATTAAAAGTTTTAGGTATAAATATATACCTAACGTTTTATATATATATGCGTGCGTATACTTAACGTAATTTATTTTTAAAAAGGGCTAGATGTGCGTGATTATGGCGATGTCAGTTACGGCGAAGAGAACATACATGATGTGAATAATATGTCTCACTTAAGCGACGTGGCTAGCTGCACGAGTCGTTTATCCGAACATGTTCGACAAATAATACAAGATGGCAGGCAAGTGGTGACAATTGGCGGCGACCACAGCGTAGTTATCGGTACTATTGACGGACATATCAAGGTAAAAAATATTTCTTTTGGTGAAAAAGCCGTGGTGAGTTGTTGTCGAATCTTGCAACACTGAAACTGTAGGAGAGGCAAGATGTAGCAGTGATATGGGTGGATGCACACGCGGATCTCAACACCAACAAGACCAGTGACAGTGGTAATGTGCATGGAATGCCTGCGGCATTGTTGATTTCTGAACTATCAGACTACTGGCCGTACCTGCCCGGCATGGATTGGCAAAAACCAATGTAATAATAACTCAACATTCAAGCGTTCATTATTCATCAATCCGTTTACCTTAAAAAATGTATTGAATGGATTCAAAAAGCTAAATTTAACGCTCCTATCCTCGCCATGGTCATCTTGATTAATGACGTCAGAAGAGCTAGAAAATATATGCCTAAAATTTTTGCGGAATACGTTGGAATAAAAGGATATGTTCATAAAGTGATTCTTGGATCGATCGGCATGCGTTTTCTCATTTCTACCGTCATAAATCGAAAGTTCCGTGGCGAAGGAGCAGGAACTTTAAGCAGCATACAATTGTCTTGCAGGTTGCCCCTCAGAAACCTAGCTTACATCGGCTTGAGATCTGTGGATCGTTATGAAAGATTAGTGATCGAAAAGCATGGTATCACAGCTTTCGGTATAGAAGATATAGAGCATTATGGTAATACATCCGGAAGCGTAGAACGACTCGATTCGTTGAGCATTATATAAAACGCCAATATTAATACGTTTTCAGGTATTCATAATGTGTTCCACATGGCACTGAATAAGATAGATCCTCACAATGAGAAATCTATACATGTTAGCTTCGACATAGACTCATTGGATCCGCTTGAAGCACCCAGTACCGGCACACCAGGTATGCTGTTGACTGAGAGTTCTACAGAAACAGCATCTTAATTATTACTTTCACGTTTATAAATTGCAGTGCGCGGAGGATTGTATCTTAGAGAAGCGGTTCATCTCATGGAGCAGATACACAGAACACGCAGACTGAGTGCCATTGATTTAGTAGAGGTCAATCCACAAATTGGTGATGAAAAAGATGTAAGAATTACTATAGAGGCAGCGATACACATTATCCAGGCAGCATTAGGTCACATGAGACGTGGTTTAATGGTTCCTAAAGGTGTAACTGATATGCCATTACAAACATTTCGATAATATACACTGCTGATGTATATAATATATATAAAATATATTATGGACACAATTGACAAATTTATCATAAACTGAAAAGAAATGGCATGTATCTGTGTTGTATTTTAATATATAGATATTTATCAAATTTTTACATATATATACAATATTTATGTAACACTGTCTCTACTGTTAGAGTGATTACATACACGAATAATTAATTTCTGCCATTAGTACTCTATATATAAGTATTATATTCAAAATAAATAAATTGTATATTCTTTTTAATAATTATATTTGTCACTCTATACTTCATAATCTCTTATTACAAATGTTTTTCCTGGTATATTATCAAATTTAACTTCAATTTTAGATACTTCAGGTTTATTTTCGAGTTTTTGGTTTAACGTTACTTCATAATATATGTTTCCTTTAGTATTAGCACCTCTAATGGAAACTTCAAACCACTTGTAGGGTATTGTATCTTTCAACAGTCCATCGCCAAATTTGACGCGGCCCAATTTGATGGGTTCTCCAAAGTAGGGTACGGCCTTCTTATGATTACGCAAAGCGTTTATTGCATCTTCATAAGTCTCGCTCTTTTTGATATCGTTTTCTATACGAAACCTGAAGGCATAACCTGTACCCGCTGTCACGAATCCTCCTATTGCTCCAATCTTTATAAGCGTATGATTTGATACCATCTGCAACGAACAACATTATCGTTAGTTTCTATTGAATATTTTCATATCTTAAAGCACACTTGATACGAAATTTCATAGGAATTAGTGAACGAACTAACGTCTTGTATGTTTACCTTAGACCTTACATATGACGAACAGTAACCAAGTGTAGTCGGAATAGTTTATCGACAACGTCGATATTCTGCAGTTATCTCCGGCCTCCGTCGATAATCATCAAACTTGCGACGTCGGTATTGTCACAAGGATATGCTTTAGATATTAAAATACTGATTAAATTGCAGTCATAAACCATTTCATCAACCATAAACGCCAATAATCATTAGGACAGCTATTCTTGCATAGCACGTCAATTCAGCAAGGACGACAGCAATGAATTAATTCAGATGAATCAGACGTCAGCTTGATCATTTCAATTTGATGCATTATTGTGCACATATGTTAATGGCAGATTTCTTATCATGCCCCCGGGTGATTTTCAATGTAATTAATTCATACAATCCCGACTAGTCCGAATTTCATTCCTACAAAGTAGGAATAAATAATTTGTAGGATAAATTCTTACAAAGATTACATCCCACACACCTTTATAGAAATATCATATTAAGAATCATTGATAATTACTTATTATCCAGTATTTTTAATACTGAAAATAAGTAATTATCAATGATTCTTAATATGATATTTCTATAAGGGCAGCACCAACATATTTAAGAAAGCTTTCAATGAAATATTTCAAAGAAATATTTCAGACCTGTTTTAGATATTTTTCAGATACATGAAATGTCCATATCATGCTATCATGTAATATCTGAAATGTATCAAAAATACATGGGAAATATTTCAGACACTTTTTTTATACAGAAACTATTCGTATTTTTATATTTAGAAATTATTCGTATATAAATTATTTGTATCACAATGTGTATGTTTGCTGATTTTATTTGAAAATTTTAGATTATTTGATTTCAATGTTACATCACATTTAAAAATTTTCATCGGCACTGGGACTCGAATTTGGACCATGAGGTATTTTTGGATTATGAGAGTCTGTTGCTTTAGACACTATACCACTTCTTCGATCAATATAAACGTCTTACATTTCGTCTATATGTATTGTAATTAACACAGTAATATAATTTTTTTATATAATTTAATAAAATGATTTAATTTTAATAAAAATTATATTTTTCGTACTTTTATTGTTGATTTAATTCTTAGGTAATGAGGTAAGGTCTACAAAATCCCGTACATTCCATTTCGTTATCTTTCATTTTTTATAGTAAATATTTTTTTATTGTTAACTGTTATTAAATAGATAAAGTCATAAAATACTATAAACTGAGTAATTATGAAAGAATATAAAGAAAAAAAGAAAAAATCCACTTATTTCTATATAAGATTTAATTAGATTAATTAAATTTACGTATCAATATATAAATCAACGCTTATATTATAAGCGATTTCTGAAATATTTTAGTGACAAAGATTTTAATGAAATTTTTCACAAATATTTCTGAATTATTCCAATGTTATATTTCAATATAAGTTATTTTTTGGAAAGCTTTTTGAAAGATATTGTGCTGTGTAGGATATCAACAAGATAAATCACAGCGCGATTAACAAGGAACTCGATTTTTTGTGAAAAAGACAAGTCGAAATGCAGAGTAAAATTTCCTCACACGTATTCTTATTGAGAAACAGATTTTAAACTTTGGAAAAGTAATAATACATCGACATTCATACATCGTTTAAGCCAACAAATAACCGACAACGACGTTGCGCCGAACGTCAAGTTTTTTTTCAATAATAGGTGTTTTTCATTTCATAATACGTGGGAAGGAAACGATAACGTTCTTATTTAACAAGCACGATATTTACATAAGAATACTTACAACGAATACGCGTGGTTGCAGGCTATAGATACGCTTGTATTCTTGATTGATAGAAAAAGACAGATAGTTCTTATATTCTCTAAATTCCTTCCAGCTCTTAGTGTGCATTAATATTACTTTACTTAATTTAAACTTTACTTAATTTAAACATATTATATTATATTCTAGTTTACAAAACGTTGGAATGTTGAAAATATCTATGAAAAACGCATGACACCAACCTGGAGAAGCCAGATAAAACCTTTCTCCACACTGATGGAAACCTAAAATGTTAAAGTGTTTAATTAAGTTTTTAATTAATAAATATCTCACACACAACAATTAACATGAAACATTTAATCATTTTAACTTTCGTTTGTGATTGAATCTTCCTTTCTTATGCTTTCAGTTTCGTTCTGTCAAAGGGAGAAAGAGACAAGAATACTAAATTATCTCTTTTCCATCCTTTTCTCATTCGAGAAAAGTTTAAAAAACGAGAAGTTTGAAAAATTATCGTAGATTCGAATAATATTTTACATATTGTTACATATTAAATTATCGATAATAAAGATTTCAAGACTCGCTCATGCGATTGCGAAAAATCAGCAGTTTTATATATTATATTCTCTGCTCCCAACCGTAATCCTATTTTTTATGCAGTTTTCCACTTTCGTGTCTCCCCCTCATTTATAAAGCTGATGTCAATCGTCGTTAAATGTACGGCTACGCACGAATCATGCTTACATTATCAATTAACGTTCGGTTGATCTTCGAGTTTCGTTTGGAGGGGAATACGCCAAGAATATGTTCCGTCAGCAGATGAACAAAGACGGCGGGCACAAACGGCGGGTATAAACGGCTCTTAGCGTTCGTATCGCAACAGAAAAGTGATTTAAAGAGAAATCGCGTGAATAATTACAACACGAATAATTACATGTTGATCGAACGAACGAGGCACTTGTGAACGCGAATCGGCTTAGTATTACCACGATCGGAAAATTATGCGTACGAAAGCGTCTGTTTGAACGTGCGGCCTGTCCTTTTGGCATTTGGTTTCCCGTATAAATCGGACGACACGCGCGTTTGCGAAAATAATGCCCGCCAAAATGCCGGGAAACAGGATACAAATGTTCGAAATGGTGAGTAACTCTTGAAAAATAATCATACTTTTCACGCATTAGAATAACTATTTTAATCCCGCTTTATTACGGCAATAAGCTTGGTAATTTTTCTCTTCAAATACTAAGGATATATTCGATTATTTTGGAATCCAAAAAGAAAAGTGTCTCTTTGTGCGAATATCTATATTAAAAATATATAATTTATCTATAAAAGTTGTATAATATATATGTAGGAATTTTATTTTCACGTGACCACCGACTGATTGCTGAATCTTATAAAATTATGTTTGCATTATTGCCGTATTATTGTTGTTAAACACGCGCGGATGATAAATTAAGTCGCGAATTGACGCTTATTGACGCGAGACAGACACGAGTGAACAAGAGACACTGAAGTAGTTGGAGTCGTTAAATAAATAAGGCGAAGTCTGAATTTCTTGCGTATCGAAACATTTCCATCCTTGCTAATCAAATTATTTTAACCAAGTTTACATTATATCTTACAGACATTAAATACAATAATTATATCACATATACGTATATTTGTAATGTTTTCCATTGCTAAAAATATACTAAAGCTAATTGTGACAGATAATAAATTATTGACACTAAAAAAATGTATATTAATAAATATGGAAGATAATAATTTAATTTTGGAAAAAATTCATATAGGAGATATCATCTCTCTCTCTCACTTTGCGATTGGCATTGTTTTCTTATTCTTTGAAATCGGCTACAAAGCACCTAATAAATTTGTTCCTGAGGTTCCACACGAAGAAACGAGATATTCTATATAACATTAATACAAAAAATTATTGGTTACAACTATTTATACTAAATTGATCAATTTATACTAAATTGATTTAACTATTTATACAAAAAACTATTGGTATAAATATTGGTAAATCTCGCGTTCATTCCTTCGTAATTATTAAACAGTGGTTTCGTGCAGCGATTAAAGCATAGAATGACAAAATAATTCCTATGTCGGTCGGAACAAGTTTAAATTGCGTTGCGGTGTTACTGTGGTATGCTAATTGCTCCACGTTAGCATGCCTTACAATTGAATGTAATTGTTTCACTTTCAATGATAATTCGGACTCAGATTAAATCGTAATGTCTTACGCGAACGAGCTTAATGTCTGTGATTAAGTTATTATAATACAAATCTACCAAAAAGTTCCCGATATTTCATGCACTCATATTATTATTAATTAAGACTCATATTATTATTAATTAAGACATTTAGGAACCGTACAATTTTTACCTTGTTCAATGTGAGCACCGGTGATAAATGCTAAAATTATATAGAAGTAGCAACGTGTGGACGAATTGTGCCAGCAATCATCTCTCATATTTTTCCTCTCGATCTTATTTCGGTTGTTACACACGCTGTTCTGCTTGAATGATCGTAAAATTTAACAATTACCGACAATAAACCGTCATTCTTGGAAAACCAATCCGCGATTGGAAATATGCGATTAGCGTGATTGCTCGACAAAAAAACAAGCTGTGTTACATAATGTTGCAGCTCTTGCGTTTTATGCCACGGATCTTATTCAATTAATGTTAATTTGCACCACAAGCATACTGCAAAGATAACTATTGATACAAGTCTATGAGTTCTCTATATATACTAAGCATGTTATGTAAATTTTTCGGACAAAAAAATTACATGAGAAAATGTTTGAAATATGAAATGCAAATTATTCGGCGTGTTTACGGGAAATCTCGTGCATCAAGGATATTCTTTTTTAAATGTATTTGTGAAATAATATTTCCAGGTTAAAACCGATTACATATATAACGAACTTCAATGAAATCTTTACACTATATTATTTGTCTCTTGTAATTTCTCATACCCATGAAAAAGTCCTAGAAGTTTTGTTAAATGGAAATTAGTTTTTTCTCATAATAAGAATTATAACTGACATTGACCCGAGTTTAAGCATGTGACCCAAGAGTGATCTTCGAATAAATCACGATGAGGTTTTGTTATTCGCAAAGCATAAGGAAACATTGATTACTAAATGAGTAACGTCTAATCCATTACCATACAGAACAACAGAACGTATATTTTCCATATCTTAGTAAGATCTATTTTCTGATTCACTACTTATCCATCGAAATAGTCGATGTAATTTTCTGACTATCAGAAGATTGTTCATACAGACAAGATTATTTTCAACCTGACGAGACTCCTGCATTAACAGATTAAACGGATCAGACAGATATTAAGTATTCGAGCCACGGTATTCTTATCTCCACAATACTGATCAAAATAGAAGTACGATAACGTACGCCTTAAACTCTTATAATTCACTATTATCGTGATTTATATTTTTATGGTATCTCGCCGGATTTGTCCTCCGATCTTTTCAGAATACAGACAATCCGACGCTCACTTCAACGCCACAAGAAGCCGTGGACGATGCTAGTAAAAATTCCGGCCTCACTTATGGCATTGACGACGTTCCACCGTGGTATCTGTGTTTATTCATGGCATTGCAGGTTTTGTAATTACATATTACATACACGGAAAAAAAAGATTTAATATATGAACAACTAAAAATATTAACTGCAGGAGCAAATTTTCTTGCTTTCATAGCAAAGTTATTTAGTTATGATAGCTAAAAGATTTGCTAATATATATATGAGCAAATCCTTTAGCTATCACAACTAAATAACTTTGTTATGAAAGCAAGAAAATTTGCTCCTGTAATTAATATTTTTAGTTGTCTATATATTAGCAAATCCTTTAGCTATCACAACTAAATAACTTTGTTATGAAAGCAAGAAAATTTGCTCCTGTAATTAATATTTTTAGTTGTCTATATATTAGCAAATCTTTTTTTTTCCGTGTAGTTATTATCTGTTCACATATGCATATTATTATTGATTGATGCTAAAATGAAGAAATAACGTTTGTTTTTAGCATTACTTAACCATGATCGGCGCTATCGTTTCTATTCCTTTCATATTAACACCAGCTCTCTGCATGGCCGAGGACGATCCCTCAAGAAGTTATATCATTTCCACGATGATTTTCGTCACCGGTTTGGTGACACTTATCCAATCCACCATAGGATGTAGGTATGTGTATGATGGCTACAAAAGGAGAGAATCTACACAATGGATTATAGTTAAAAATGATTTTACGCTCAATAGAGAGTCAATAATAAGATATAAGATACACGCATTTTGAATTACATTTCTCTACCGTATCCTTAATAATTTGATTATCAATTAAGCCTTTTGTATAATCAGTGGACATAAGCGAGGTAGATAACACAATATGTTAATCAAACATGTTGACGAATTCAATATATTTAAGATAATAAAAAAAATATAACAATGATGCGTTTAAATCACTGGCGTCGCTTGGAGAATACACTGAGATCCTTATAGAAATTTAATACTGATAAGTGATAATTTGGCCCGTAATAATTACTGTCGTTTAATAATTTTATTACTTATACAAATAATAAAATCACTATTTATTACTGGCCAATTTATCATAGCCAGTGATACTTTTCTATAAGGGGAGGAAATGCACTTAAAAATTTATTTGTAGGATATAAAGTTCATTTCTGTGAAATAAACTTTATTTTATGGAAATGAACTTCACATACTACAAATAAATTTTCAAGTGTTTTTTCAGTGTAAGTACTAACAACAATCACGAAGAATGAAAAAGAAGAACCTTTTTGTATCAGATTGCCGTTGGTGCAGGGAGGCACCATATCGTTCTTGGTCCCAACTTTGGCGATACTAAATCTGCCGCAGTGGCAGTGTCCCGCGCCAGAAATCCTAAGCCAAATGTCCCACGAGAACCGCACGGAACTCTGGCAGGTGCGAATGAGAGAGTTATCGGGTGCGATCGCCGTCTCCGCAGTGTTCCAGATAGTCATTGGCTTCGGAGGTGAGTGTGTTTGATTCTCTTTTTTATTTGATCTCATCGCTGTAGTTATCAGAAGCGTGCTAATATGTAATTCAAAATGCATGCATCTTCTCTTTATGTACAGGTATTATCGGATATCTGCTGAAGTTCATTACTCCATTAACGATCGTGCCGACGGTCTCGTTGGTCGGATTGTCCTTGTTCGAGAACGCAGCGGATGCTGCGTCCCAGCATTGGGGTATCGCAGCAGGGTACGCAATTGTATATGAAAAAATTAACAAAAGCGCTCATTAAGATATAGTACTGAGCGATTATGATACGTTCGTTTACATTCCTTTTACAGAACAATAATAATGCTGACGACGTATTCGCAAATATTGATCAACGTACCGGTTCCATTGGTGATGTATCGCAAGGGTCGCGGTTTCCATATCGTTTGGTTCGAGTTGTTCAAACTGTTCCCGGTAAATAATACAAGATGCAAAGCAGTGAGAGAGAGAGAGAGAGAGAGAGAGAGAGAGAGAGAGAGAGAGAGAGAGAGAGAGAGTTTTT